GATCTTTACTACTGTATCCTGCTCATTATAAATTTCTGTACTTGTATGCTTATGTTTCCATGCCTTTTACTTTCTTTGGACTTATTCTGATTTTCATTTTCTAACATCTTAAGTTGGATATTTTATCATTAAATTTCTGCTTTTTCTGTCTTTGTAGGATATAAATGCTTTGAGTAGCTTCTTCTATAGCAAGCCCTTTTACTCTTAGTCATGTACATTGGGGGAAAAGTTCCAGACTTTAACATATTCCAATAAGTCAACCTTTTTATTTGTGGTTACTACTTTTATATCTTATTTGAGAAATATTTTTCCTACATCAAGATTATAAAGATATTTTTCTATGCTATCTTTTTAAGCTTTCCTTGTTTACCTTTCAGATTTAGATCTATAATCCCCTGGAATTGACTTGCATGTAGCGTGAAAGAGAAGTCAAGATTAGCTATTTCCCCATAGGGATATGCAGTTGACGCAGCACCCTATAGGGAGACCACCCTTCCTTAGTACACTGTAACACTGTACTGCATATTTGCGGCTTATATTTTAGGTGTGTGCATCTTTAGAATTGTTTATCATTATGTGGTAAACTTCTTGGTCTTTATGTCTGATATTGCCTGAGTTTCTACAGCTTTCTCATGTTTTGTTTGGCCTATTTCTTTTTTCCACTTCACTATCGACATTTATGAATCCCATTCCACTAATATGTCTAGGTATAGCTATCTTTCCATTTATCTTGATTTGTGTAACAGACTATTAAAATGGTCAAAAATCCTTCCCCTCCTTGCATCCATGTTCTTGTAATGCAATATTACAAAATAGTCCTTCAGGAGATGGAGTCTATTTCTTTACCCCTTGACTCTGCATTTGGTCAGATGACTTGCCTTAGGTAGGTAGTATATTATTAGCATCTGTGATCAAGCAAACAGAGCCTTGAAAGGCCTTAGTGCACTAAGGCTTCCTCTCTTCTTATACTTGAAATCTCAAGACTGCCACGTGCATAAACCTGAGCTAGACAGCTAGAGAATGAGAGACCATATGGAAGAGAACTGAGGCACACCAGTCAACAGCCAGCCTACTACCAGAGATGTAATGAGGCCATCGTAGATCATCCTGCCACCTGCTGACCTGTCGATTTACCACAGAAACATTAGAAAGCCGAGAAGAATTCAGTGTAGCCAGGACCAGGAAAATCATACAATCAACTCAAAGAATTTTGAGCTTTATAAAATGGCTGTTGCATAAGTGTCTAAGTTTTCTAAGTGACTTGTTAGACAGTAATACCTAATATACACTTTGATTTCATTGTGTTTCTGTAACGAGAATTGATGTCTTTTAACAGTTTTAGAAAATTCTTAGCCATCATAATTATCTTGGCACCTACAATTTCTTTCTCCTATTCCTTCTGGAATTTTTCAAATATATATGTGTGTATACACGTAAAATATATTTTTATATATGTATCTTCTCTATCTTTTAACCTCCCCTATTTTCCTCTCTATATCTCTGCACTACAATTAAGGTAATCACTTTGACGATATTTTCTATTTCACAAACACTCTCCCCATCTGTGTCTAATCTACTGTTTAGCAGTTTCACTGAATTAATTCATTTTCACTTCGATGAAATTTTCAGTTGCAGAAGTTCTTCTTGATTCACATCTCCCTGGTCATATTTACTGTCTCCAGTAATCACACATTTTTTAATTTGTTATTTTATTTTTTAAACATTCTAAACAAATGGACTTTTAAAATTCTTTACCTTCTAATTCCAATTTCTGCAGGCCTTTAATGGCTAATTGAAAACAATTGTTGTTTCTTTCCACTCTCACTCATTACGGCTTAAAAACTCATACTTGCATGAACTTAATTTGTGGGAATCTTGTGAGGTCTATGTTGCAGATGATAATTTGTTTTTCATTCATCAGGAATCCCAAGGTACTCAACCCAGAACCACTTTAAAATAGTTGCTTAAGCTTCATGGATAAAGTAAATCCAAAGCCTGTATATCAGGGCTATTCTCATCAGAAATTCTAATCAGAAAACTAGTATTTTTCTCCCATGTGGAGATAAGGTGAAGAAAGACTAATTTATTGGATTGCCTCCCTATGCTAAATAGTAAATGATTTCTGCCCATTCTTTCACTAGAGATGAAAAGTTTTCTGGGCCGTGCCTTTATTTCAGGAGTTTCTGCCCAACTGCCAAGCTTTCATGGCATCTAAGCCATTTCTCTCATCCCACAGAGACTGTTAAAATGTAAGACTTGAACTGGGACTCTCATACATTGCTAGTGGAAATGCAAAACAGTATGGCCACTGTGGAAAATATGTTGGCTTTTCTTATAAAATTAAACAAACATACATTTACTATATGGCCCAGCAGTCCTATTCCTACATATTTACACAAATGAAATAAAAACTTTTGTTCATATAAAAGCATGCAAATGGTTTTAGTAGTTTCATTCATAAATGCCCAAACTCAAATCAACCTAAATGTCCATAAACTGGGGAGTAAATAAACAGTGGTACAGCTATGCAATAGAACTGGAATACTACTCAACAATACAGAAGAAGAAAACCCTGATATATACGATAACTTGGGTGAATCTCAAAATACATTCATATATACATGCATAAATTATTCCATTTATGTAACATTCTTGGAATGGCAAAAACTATAAGGCTAGACAACAGATCAGTGGTTGTGGTTTAGGATGAGGAAGAGTTGAATAAAAAACAGCAGAAAAGAATATTTGGAGGTTATGGAATGGTCTTTTGTCTTAATTATGATGGTGTTTACATGACTGTATACATTTTCCAAAACTCACAGAACCGTACATTTAAAGGGGTAAATTTTTTCTATGTAAATTATACCTTTATTTAAAAAAAAGTAAAGAAAGAATAGTCCAGGACCAGATGATTTTACTAATGACTTCTACCTAACATTTAAAGAATATAGAAAATCCTTCTCAAACTCTTCCAAAAAATTAAAGAGGGAACACTCTCAAACTCATGTTACAAATATGATGTTTTTATGCATTATCCTGATCCAAAAAACAGATAAGAACACTACAAGAAAAGAAAATTGCAGGGCAATAATCCTGATAAATATAGATTCAAACCAAAATAAAATACCAGCAAACTTAATTCAAAAGCACATTAAAGGATCGTATACCATGATTAAGGGAGATTCATCTCCGGTATTCAAGAATGGTTCAACACATGCAACTCAATAAATGTGACCAAACCACATTAATAGAATGAAAGATAAAAATCGTATGATCTCAAGAGATGCAGAAATAGCATCTGACAAAACTCAATATTCTTTCATAATAATAAAAAGGTCAATAAATTCAGCACAGAAGGAATATACTTCAACATAATAAAGGCCATATATGACAAGCCCACGTAACATGATTCTCAGCAGTGAAAAGTTGAAAGCCTTGCCTTTTTTTTCAAAGACATAGAAAACAAAAATCCAAGAATTTGTATGGAACCAAAAAAGACCCCAAATAGACAAAGTAATCCTGAGAGATAAGAACTAAGCTGGAGGCATTATACTTCTGAATTTCAAACTATACTACAAAGCTATACTAATCAAAACAATATGATACTGGTACAAAAACAGATATACAAACTAATGTAACAGAATCAAGAATCCCCACAAAAAAATACCTTGTGTATATGGTCACCTAATATTTGACAAGGGAGTCATGACATTCAGTGATAAAAGGACAGTCTCACCAATAAACAGTGCTGGGAAAAATGGATATTCACATGTGAAATAAAATTAGATCCCTTATTTTACAACACTCACAAAAAATTAATTTAAAATGGATTTAAAAAACAAAATGCTGGAAACCATACTAGAAGAAAACAGGGGACAAGCACCTTGAATTGATCTTGGCAACAGTTTTTCAGATATGACAATAAAAAGCACAAGCAATAAAAGCAAAAGTTAGTAAGACTACATAAAAATAAAAAGCAAAAGAATCAACAAAATGAAATCGCAACCTACTGAATAAAAGAAAATATTTGCAAATCATATCTCATAAGAGATTAATATCAAAAAATATATAAAGAACTCATACAACTCAAAAGCAAAAAAAAAATTTCATTTAAAAATGAGCAGAGAATCTAAATTGACATTTTTCCAAAGAAGCCATGCAAATAGCCAATAGGCACATGAAAAGGAGCTCAACATCATTAATGGTCAAGGAAATGCAAATGGAAACCACAATGTGATATTCATGGACACAGACAGGGGCAGGGAAGTAGATGGGGTAATGGGAGTCAAATATTTGGTGGCAGAAGGAAATTTAACTTTGAGTCGTGAACACACAATGCAGTATACACATGACATATTACTGAATTGTACACTTGAAACCTATTTGATTGTATTAACCAATTCACTCCAATAATTTTAATTAAAAAAAAATTTCAACACATTTTTGTTTTATCTAATATTTATAGGCATTTTGAAACAGGAGGATTTTTAAAATATCCAGTCTACCATATTGCCAGAAGCAAAACTCTGCCAGCCTACTGAAGAACAAGACTACCTTAAAATTTCATGTTTTTAACTTCTTCAGTTCATTTTATCACTGCATCCTCATGTTTCTATGAAGTACAATAATGCAGTTACTATTATCCTCTTTATAGACAAGAAAACCAAAGCTTATAGACATTGAGATTTGTTTCCTATTGTGTATCTAGACATTCACGCCAAACTGATTTAACGTATATTCTGAGAATGGAAGCCAATTTAAAGATTACCTTAAGTCTCCCAGAATTAGGTTAATGAGAAATATTTTTAGGATCATTTACATTCTGCATCCATCATCCATACCTAGCATCAGAGTGAACTGTGTGACCCTGCGCAAGTCACTTAACTCTCTGCCTAGCAGAGTTTCGAAGCACCTACTTCATAAAATTATGAACATTAAAAGATTTAACTCACATCAAGCACATAAAAAAGCATGTGGCAAAAGTAGAAAGTAGTCCTTACTTTGAATAAGCCATGCTTTTGGTTGCGCTGACCAAGCCATAAATTGCTTCCTGGGGGAAGGTTTGTTTCAGGAGGGTCTATCACACGTTCATAAATCCTGTAGAGGCAAAGAACACAGTTACTAATAGAGAGGCTCAAAGCAGAACCAAAAGGTATACACGTTGTTCAAAGTACTCATGGTAATAGCTGCTGCTATAGAGATGGAGCCAATTATGTGGCATGTTTTAAATGACAGGTAGGTAACATGAATGTAGAGATCTGTTTCTTGACAACACTTGTTTCACAACCTCAGGAGTTCTCTGAGTGAAATTCGAAACTGGCCCCCATACACAGAGGGTTAACCAAGTAAGAATAGTAGAGTTGGGATGAGAATCCCCAGTTGTCTAGCTCAAGGCCCATCCACTCCCTTTATCCAGCTTGATAAAAGGATAAAGAGTTTATTTAGCTGCTACTCATTTCTATTATAACCTGCTATACTCCTCTAAACAAGTGAGTAGCAGCTGCCCAGATGATAATATGCTTGCTCTACAAAATCAAGTTACTAACATCATCATCCAATCAACAAATACTTATGAGCACTTTTTATTCTCTGAGCTCAACACAAGGAAACAGGAGATAAAGAAAAAAAAAAAGTCCTGCCCACTGGAGCAAAAGATAAATGAATAAAATCTTCATATATCTTCATATACAATATAACATATGAAGACATATAACTAATACGGAGAAGACAAGAGCCCCAGGATCTTCGAAGATACCTACTGAACAATTGAATTATCTCATCTACTCTGCCCTACCAAGCCTCAGTTAGTCACAAAGAGTCCCTGTACCCAGTTACCAGCTGATCAAAGGCCTCCACCTGGCCCCTGACAAGTACTTCTCAGAACTTGAGTGCTGAGAAGAGGATGGACGTGCTGGCCTGAGAACTGAACTTGCCCTTAGATGCTCAAAAGATTCTGAGTGGGGTGAGACAGAGTGATCATACATGAATTTCAGTTCCTCGTGATGGCCCTGTCCATTCCTTGCATTTCTCAGCCCTTGCTCAGAACAGCTGCAGGAGGAGTCACCTCCAGGTAGGTCCAGAGATTCTAACAACTAATCAGTCCTCCTCGGTAAAATGAAGCTGACTGCTTCCTGCCAGAGGGTAACATATTCCATTGGTGGCTCTCAGAAGGAAAGTGTGGAAGAACTGGAGAGATTGTCCAGTTTTGTCAAGGCCACTGTGAGACTTTTGCAGTTCGTAGCTGTCAGCCACCACCTTATATCCTAGCTGCATTGTCCATTACTCCCGTTCCCCACTGGAAACATGCTGTTTCCTAATAATACATGCAAACTATTTAACTGGCAGAGATCTAAATATATCAGGCCCTTCTCCACTAATTATCTTTCCATTATAAATGGAGGCTCAAGACATAAGCAAAGAAAAATAAGTTTCCTTTAAAAAGACAGGCTGTGTTTCCTCCACAGTAATTTAACCTATGTCTGTTAGAATAAAACATTTTAAATGAAACAGTCAAAAATGCTATAACACAAGAACCTACTATATACTTCCTGATAAACGTTTTTCTCAATATTAGTGAAAAACTAGAAACAAGACAAATTTACAACATGAGAGAAATGCATAAGTTATAGTAGATCAGCTTGATAGAATTTACTATAGTCATTAAGAGTGATAAATATGCAGGTTGTGAAATATGGGAAAGCATACAAAATAATTTTCACTGGAGGAAAGTAGAATGCACAATTATTTATGCACTATGGAGATAACGATGCAAAAATTATGTTCAATGTTGGGGAATTTCAGAGGAGTCCAGAGAGAAACAGAAATCACTATACCTAGGTGAAAAGGCAGAAGCATAATTTTCTATATGGCCGTTTTACCAATGAATTGAAAATGTTGTCAAATTATTTATCTTAACCTTCATTTTAAAACATTTGTATCTGTCAGAGTGAGAGATTCCAATTCGAACCCTTTTAGGTTTTCAATATGCTAAAAAGTGAGCTCCAATGAGCAGAGTAGGCCCTTCATCAATGTTTATTAAGTGCATGAATAAAAGAAAGAACAGTGAAAAAGATCAACTTCCTATCCCGCCGTATCTTTCACAAGTATAGTAACTCCTTGTGACTCAGAAATAGTCGAGGAAGCAAACATCTGAGGCCCACTAGCAGCTAAAGCAAGGCAGTGACCCACAGTCCCCATGTTAAAGGGACGTGTTAACACAGTCCCCATCAAGAGCCCCCCACCCCGATACCAAAGGCTGCTGCCTTCCTGGCCAACTCACTTCAAGAAGTAGTCTCACTAGAGAATTTCATGCAGCAAGCAGAATCAGCAAACTAGATACAGATATAGCAAAATGAAGAGATCTTAAAAACACAGTAGTAAAAAAAGAAAAAAACCTGCATAGAGGAAATCTAATCATGAGGAAATATCAGACAAATGCAATTTGAGGGACGTTTCGCAAAATAACTGCCTGTGCTCTTTAAAATGTCAATGTCATGAAATATAAAGACAGACTGAGAAACAATTGCAGATTAAAAGATACCAAAGGGACATAAAAATTACATTCAGACAGGATCTTGGATTGAATCTTGGGGCAGGAAAAAAATCTCATAAAAGATATTATTGGGAAAATTAGTGCAATTTGAATAGGAACTGTAGTTACATAATAATATTGTGTTGATACTAAATTTCTTGATTTTGAGAATTGGGTTGTGTATATTTAAGTAAATGTCTTGTTCTTAGGAAATACACACTCAAGTATTTAGGGATAGAGAATCGCAATGTTTGCACCTTACATTCGAAGAGTTCAAAATAATGTGTGTATATATAAGGACATATATACGTAAACACACATTATTATTTAGAGAGAGAGATAAGAAGCAGAATCTGAGCAGGGTATATGATTGTTTTTCAAATCATTCTTAAAATATTTATATAAAATTAAGATTTTAAAAGGAAAAGTTTTAAAAGAGTAAAAAGCAAAGGGTCGATAACGCAGTAAACTAAAAATACACACATGTAAAACAATTTTATATCTATTAGCCAAGGATACATACAAATTGCATAAAATATACAATAGTGTTCTCCTGGGGGAATGGGATTGGTGCAGGGGGCAAAAGTGAATGAATGAATGATAAAGGAGAAAGGAGTATTTCACAGACTAATGCTAATAACATATCATAAAGTAAGAAATAAGATTATCACATCTCTACCTATACTCATATACCAACATGCCAGACAAATACAATCAGAATCTTGGGGGAAAGGCTTCTGAATCCTAGGGTACAGTTTAGGTGGACTAGCTCATGGAACTAGGCAGAGAGGACACAGCAATGTGTCACTTAAATCTGGTATTACCCAAGTCAAGTGAAATGAAAAGATAAAGCTAATATAGTATACTCCTAGGTTTCCAGTGTGGTCAGGAAATAGAACCTCTGATATTCCAGTATTCTTGTTAATGAAGTTTCCTTCACATCAACAAACATCTAACTATAACATGTACGACACTGTGCTGCCTATGGGGATACACACAGGCCAAAATTATATGGCCAAGTCCTTGCTTTCAAGTCAAATGCCTGAGACAAACAGACAGCACGCGCACACACACCCTAGAATTCAGCGCTGTAATTGCATTGATCTGTGGAAGTGGAGAGAAAAGAAAACAGAATTCTACCTGCCAAAAAGAAGACTTTCCAAAGAAGGAGACACTAGAGCTGAGTTTTGAATAAAGTGGAGCTGACACACTCAGACATAACGCCATCGCCTACACAGCACTTAGGTGTGCCAAGCATTATCCTGAGGGTTTTCCATATGTTAATTCACTTAATCGTTACTGCACCACCATCAGGTAGGTGTTCTTGGTTCAGGAATGTTAAATGACAGGTCCATGGTTAAGTAGCTTGTGAATGACAGAGCTGGGATTTGAACCCACACCTCCAAATCTGTGCTACTCACTCAAATCATTTAAAATCCCTTTATTCTTCGGGAAAGAAAAAGGGAAACAAGCTCATGTGCTATAAAGTACATGGCCAAGACTGGTAAACTCTCTTGCAACCCACTTTCTCTTCCTCCTGGGCTCACTGCATTTCCAGCCTCCCTCACAGCTGGGTGTGGCCATGTATTGTGAGTGGAAGGGATGTACCACTTCTAGGCCTGTTCCTTCTCCCAAAATTATCTCCCTCAAGCACATTTCACATTTTCTCTTACCTTCTCTCTCTCACCTGACTAGAGAAGACGGAGGGTTATAAGAGGTGGGCAGAGACACAAGATGGAGGATCCTGGATCCCTAAATGATGTGGAAGGCCATCTGTCAGCTAGACACACCCAAATAGAAACTTTGTAAGAAGTAAAATTCTATGTTAACCCACTGAGATAGAAATTTTCTGTTGTGGCTAATAATTTTTACTCTAATAAATAACCCCACTGAAAAATAGAAAGGTGACTGTTGTATTTTCATGCCCCAAAGCCAAGAAGTACCAGATAGTATAATATAGCAAGGACGACATGAATTGGGATAAAATAGATTTGGGTTCAATTTCCAATTCTGCATTCTACTATCTGTTAGATATTAATCAAGTTAGTTAATTTCTCTGTACTTTGGCTTCCTCATTTTAAAAATGAGGATATTACTGCTGACTGTATGGATTGTGGTGAGGCTTAAATGAAATACATTTAATGCTTTTGACACACAGTAGGTGCTGCCATTCTGTAAACTGACAGGTGCCTGAGAATGAAGAGCTACACAGGTCACATGACCCATTCCAGCCCCCTGGCTGTGTCTCATGCCAAATGAATCCAGTGAGATGTGACTATCAGTAGCTTAAATGCCTACTTATACTTTAGGATACAGTTTAAAAGAACTTCATCACTGTCACATGAAGTAGATTTAAGTGCATGAGACTTCAATGTTAAAATGGGAGAATATAGTATCTATTTTGTCATAAGCTTTGTCTACCACTCGAAAATTTAAAAGTCCTAAGTTTTCACCGTCTACAAGTTTAAAAGCTAGAACAAGCAAATATGCAACAGGAAAAAAAGGAATTAACAGTGTTAATTTCTGTTGCTGTTGAACCTAATTAGCGATGGAGCAAACTGACAAC